GGGAGGAGCCGGGACTGCGCGGGAGCTGCGACCGCGGGCGGGCGGGCGGGGTTGCGGGGAGGGAGGACGGCCCAGGTCACCAGCCCCGCCACCTACTCCCGAGCAGCGGATGGCCAGGGTCCAAGGGGACAAGGCAGGGCAACGCTGCAGCCAGAAAGTCAGACCAACCGGCTCCTGATTCAGGGACTTTCCCCCTTCATTTCTGGCTTATGTGACAATGTTTGCAATTGCACGTGGAAGCCAGGGGTCTTCATTGGGTATATTTAGTCTCCACTTTTTTTCTTTCCCTTTTAATATAGCTCTGGAACTCACCATGTAGACCAGGATGGCCTCTGACTCATAGCCTGTCTGCCTCCCAGGTGCTGGGATTCAAAGCGTGCACCACCATACTAGACACCCTCTTTTTTTTTTGAGACAGGGTCTCTCACTGAACCTGGGGCTCACCAATTCTGCTAGACTACCTGGCCAACCGGCTCCATGGATAGGTCTGTCTCTACCCACCTCCCCCCATTTCTGACTTTCAGACGCTTGACGCCAGCCCAGCTTTTACACGGTGCTGGGAATCTGAACTCAGTCCTTATGGTTGTGGCCCAAGCGTTTTACCTACTAAGTTGTTCCCTCGGCCTCTCTTTGGGGATTTTTGAGACTAGGTTCTAGCTATGTAGTTCTGGCTGGCCTGGAAATCACAGTAGACCAGGCTAGCCTCTAGCTTGCAACCATCCTCCTGTCTCTTCCTCCCAAGTGCTGGGATGACAAGTTTGTGCCATCACAACACAACTAAGCAGTGAGGACTTGTCCTCCAGTAGCTAGCACCCTCCCCAGTGGGTTGAGAATGGACGTAAGGAAGCCCAGGGCACAGCCGGGCATGGGAGCCCAATCTGGCGTCTCGCTTAAAAGCTGAAGCAGGGCAGTTGAGAGTTTGAAGTCAGCCTGGGTGGTCTACATAGACCTAGGCCGGCTTGGCTTGTATAGTGAGACCCCGCCTCAAGGAATAACAACCAAAAAGGCCGAGGGAGTTTCTAAAGCAGCCATGGCAGTTGTGTGGTTGACAAGGCATCTCCCTGGCCAGATGCATTTCATGACCTTTCCTGACCTCTACTCTGACCTCAGAGGATCTGTCATAGCCTCAGCCTTAGCATGGCTGAGCCTCTCCATTCTCTCCCTCTCTCTCTCTGCCTTGTGCTTGTGGATGAGACGTGAGGTCTCAGCTACTGCCCCAGCACCATGCCTGCCTACCTGCCAACTGCTGTGCCATGATAGCCCTGGGCCCTAATCTTCCGGAACCGTAAGCCCCTATAAACTCTCTCTTCTATAGGTTGTCTTGGCCATGGTGTGTCTTCACAGCAATAGAAAAGTAACCAAGACACCTAGTATGCACAAAGCCCTGGGTTCCATCCCTGGCACCTCATTAACTGAGTGTTATTCAAGGTCATCCTCAACTATATAGTAAGTTCAAGAGCTAAAGAAAGACCTATGTGGGGTGGTGGTGGTGGTGGTGGTGGTGGTGGTGGTGGTGGTGTTTTTGGTGGTGGTGGTGTTTTTGGTGGTGGTGGTGGTGGTTTTGGTGGTGGTTTTGGTGGTGGTGGTGGTGATGGTGGTGATTGTGATGCAGTTGTATTAGGAGAAAGCAGAGAGTGGATGACAGACACCAGATCTGTTGCCTCCTAAGCCTCCTGGATTAAGACTGACCATTATCTCTCCTTTAGCTCTGAGAACGTTCTCTACCTCTCTAGAGAAGTGCCTAGGTGGAGCACCAGACTCAAAGCTGCAAACCTCATCATATTGGTACAAGAAGCATCCGAGACGCTGCAGCAGGTTAGAGTCAACGACGACAACAACTGTAGGAAAATGAACTTTGGAGAAGGGGCGAGGCTCCTGTGGAGCAGGGGTCAGCAAGGAGGCTCTTACCAGGAACAGATGGGCTAAACAGGGGCACCAGGGCGGAGCAGCCAAGCAGTGGAAGTGGGGTGACTTAGCAGCATTCCAGCCCTGACCAGCAGACTTCAGGGTCTGATCCAAGACAGGGACCCAACCTTTGGGGTCCTCACAGCCCATCATGGGCCCCTTTTCTCCCCTCCAGAGCCTTCTGGATTCACTGCCTCCAAACCTGCTTGATCTCAAATCCTTACACCAGCTGCTCTGGGGTACCCAAACTCAGAGGGGGGATTCATGACTACCTCAGCCAGTGAGGAATTGCTGAGACCACGGGGGAGATCTGCCGTGATGGACACATGAGGCCACTGAGGTGGGACTCATGCTTCCTAGCCCCGAGAGAGACAGAGTTCCTAAGCTGGCCCTCCCCGTGGACATGTGAGGCTAAATCTGTACCCGCTGTCCCTCAGGAGCAAGCATGTGTGTGAACACTGTGGGGGCCTCAGCTTGGCCCACAAGTGCCTCAGCTGTAGAGACGGGACACCAGAGTCCCCACAGTTACATCACATACTGCTAAACATGCCTGATCAGAACTGGAGTGAGTGTAAGAAGCAGAGGTCTGGGTGGGCTGGCGAGAAGGCTCAACAGGTAAAGGCACTTGCTGCTAAAGCTGAGGACGTGAGTTCAATTCCCCGGACCCCACATGGAGGAGGAGAAAGTCAACTCTCACAGTTTATCCTCTGACTTACACACACACACACACACACACACACACACACACACACACACACACAAATAGAACATTTTAAAAAAAGAAGCAGATGTCTAGGAACATTTCCCCCATTACCCAGGCCACCCCCTCCTTGTCCCTCAGGCAGGTTCCCATTGCTCTCTGTTGAGATGCATGTCCCTATGTCTACAGGGCTCTGTGCCGGGTGACCCTGCATTCCTTCTTGTGTCTCAGAATGTTGACTTTGTCTCCTCCCACCATTATGTAACTGTGAATCCTGGCCCACAAACCCAGAGTTGGGGGCAGGGGATGACATTTCCTTTTTTTAAATCAACTGAAGTGTAATTTTGGGTCACTGTCACACTGGGGTAATAGGAAATTCCATCTCAGCTTTTAGAACTCTTCTTCACTGAGATCAATTTAGACAACAATTTAAATTTATCATTTTTAGATCAGAGCCTGGCAGTACCTGCAGGTAATCCCAGCATTTGAAAAGCGGAGACGTGAGCTCAGTGTCATCCCTGGTTATTCAGTGAGTTCAAGGCCAGTCTGGACTACATGGAACTCTGTTTCTAAAAAAAGTAATTTTTAAAACTATTTTCAAATCTATGATTCATCATCCTTTAAATACACTCACAAGCTTGCACGTCATTTCTACAATCTAATTCTAGAAGGCTCAGCCACAAAGAAAACCCCATACCCAACAAGCACGCTCCCACCTCCTCTGTCCCAGCCCTGCCCCCACACTGATGGGTTTTACTTGTGATTCCTCAGGACGGGCTTCTCACTGGTCATGTACTGTTCCCAGAGGCATCCATGATGAGGTATGTGCCCACTTCATTCCCTTCCTCCTCAGCCAGTTTTGAGGGCCCTCATTCTTCCAAGTGGCCTCAAGGTCCCCAAGGGCTTGTGAGGACAGTCAACCGCCATCTCTTTAAGTCAGCCCAGCCACTGCTTCCATGGCCACAGTCCTGCTGAGACTCTGCCTCTCCTACATGTCACTGAGTCGTGGACACTGCTGCCCTAGGAAACCACAGACCTCTTGGCTTTCCTGGATAGAATGAGTGCGCCTCACCTCACCACACCCCTCCAGGACCCTCTCCTTCCCTCCCCGACACACCCATAATCCCTTCAGCATCTTATATTGGTAACAGAGGTTAGCCCTAGTCCCAGGCTGCCTTGTTCTCTGTCTCACCAAAGTCCTATAGGCAAGGAGGGGCAAAGCCGGCCGAAAGAATTGCTTTATTAATTCACAAATGTGTAAAAGAAATGAATCGTGTTTATTTCAGCCTGCCATCTTGCCACCAGCCTGGCCTGTCTTTTCCTGTGGGTCCTAAACGTTTCTGGAATGCCTCTGTTGGCTGGACCATGGAGAAGACAGATTTGCAAAAGCCAAACCTCCAGGACAGACGGGACACTGGAAGGAGTCAGTGATGAACTCTCCACTCAGGTTGGAGGGAGCGGCTGAGTAGCACCTGCGGAGGTGTGTGCCCACCCTCCATCCCCTTCCTCCTCAGCCAGCCTAAAGCTCTGGGTTTGCCCGAGAAGTCTGCCTCCTTGTCTAAAGTGGAAGAACAATCAGGGGTAATTCCTGACACCTCAGACCTCACGTACACACTCACACACGCACACCACACATGCACACAAAACAGAAGGGGGAAACTGCTAAGAGAAGGGGGCGCTGGGGATAGTTCACTTGGTAATGTGCTACTTTGTAGACACAACAACTCCCATTTAAAAGCTGGATGTGGTAGTGAACGCTTGTAATCCCAGCCCTGTAGTTGTGGGGAGCCAGGTGGATCCCGGGAGCTCACTGGCAAGCCAGCCTAGTCTACTTAGAAACAACGTCCAAGGCTGTCCTCCGGCACCTGTGCACACACACACACACACACACACACACACACACACACACACACACGCACACACATACTAAAAAATAAGTTGAAAGTTTTCTCACCAAACGCAATAAGTAATCAGGACTGGAGAGATGGTTCAGCAGTTAAGAGCACTGGCTGCTCTTGTGGAGGACCCAGGTTCAATTCCCAGCACCGACATGGTGGCTCACAACCGTCTGTAATTCCAGTTCCAGGGGATCTGATGACTTCTTCCAACCTTCTCAGATACCAGGCACATACATGGAACACAGACATACATGTAGACGAAGCACCCATACGCACAAACTAGATAAATAAAACTTAATTTAAAAAAAATTTTTTAAAGAGGAATAAGTAATTAAGGGAATTGATATGCTAATTAGTTTGACTGAAATATTGCATATGTATATACGTATGTATCATAACATTATTTGTACCACATAAATGTATGCAATTATACTTTGTCTATTTACAGTAACTAATTTGGACAATCAGATTCTCGCGTCAAGTCCCTGTGAGCACAGCTGAAGGACACACTGCTTGGAGCGACAGGTCCTTAAGACTCTCCTCCGCTCTTCAGCTGGCACTGTCCCGTCAAGACCTCATCCCGTCAAGACCTCACCTTAGGAGGGCTTGCCTGTTTTTGTCCACATCAGGAGGGCTTGCCTTTGCTCTTTTCCGGTCTTGCTGGGACATGTCTCCCTAGCAGGTGGCAACCACATCTTCGTCTGGTTCTTCTGGGCCACAGACCACCTGTGATTGGAATCTTTCTGACACATTCACCCTCCTTCCGAGCCAGGTGGTGACTCAACATCTTCATGCTCAGCCTGCCCTCGACCTGCAGCCTCTGTGTGTGACCCCAGAGGACATGCAGAGGGATCCCTCAGCCTCTGTGTGTGACCCCAGAGCACATGCAGAGGGATCCCTCAGCCTCTGTGTGTGACCCCAGAGGACATGCAGAGGGATCCCTCAGCCTCTGTGTGTGACCCCAGAGCACATGCAGAGGGATCGGATCGGATCGTACACTGCAGCAAGGCGGGGTTCTCACAAGATGAGGTCAAGCTATTCCCCGGCCCCAGAGCTGGCTGTGCATGTAACCAGAGACGCCCTGGCTCATGGTTTGAGCGTGGGCCGACTGGCTGCTGTATAGATGATGTTCATCAAGAGGGCTGGAAGCAGCAGGCAGCATTGTGGGACCGGCACTTTCAGAGTACCAAAGACTGTGCTTCGGAAGGAAGAGTCGGTGCGGTAAAGAGCATGGGAAGGAGGAAGGGACACCAGGGAAGGGCAAGGCAGCCTCGGTGTCCTGAGTCACATTCTGCTTCTCACTGTTTTAAAAAGAGACCTACAGATTGCCCAGAGGTCAGCAAACCCTAGCCTTTGTGAGCCAGATGCCAATGCCTCTACAGCCCAATTCCCCCGGAGTCTCGGGAGCTTCCATCAACACCATGGAGCAGTCACAAAGGCAGAGAGGTTAGCAAGGACCAGCTTCCATTCCCGGAAATGTCCACCCATTGGAAGAGGCCTCGGTGCCCTAACCAGTGGCTTGCATTGTGGTCTCTGCTTGTGGGATGACAGGATTCTGAGAATGAGTTAGAGAATCCTACAGGAGGCAGGAGGTATAGCTCATCTGTGGGGTGCCTACCTGACATGCAGTAGTCCTGGGTTCGAGCCCCATATACTGGACATGGAGGTACATACTCATAATCTCCTCTCTCAGGAAGTGGATGCCAAAGGATCACCCTCAGCTACACAGCAAGGTAGCTGACCAGCCTGGGCTACATGTGACTCTGGAGAATTGTGCAGAAGAGTGAGGACAGAGAGGCAGAAGTAGCAAAGACTGTTGGGGTCCAGCCCCTCGGTAGTCTTTTCCCAGGGTCCGTGGAAGAATCTACAACCAGCTGATGATCTAATCTTAGATGATGTCAAATAAATCTACATACACAAAACTCTTGAATTCATTCACTTTATTCTTCTGAGTCAGTTCTCTACACAGCTTCTTTTCTGCTCTCATACTTAGCTCCTTTCTTGCCTGATACCTCGATATACTTTTCTGCTGTTCTAAGTTCTATCTTAATTCTCCCATCTTGTTCTTTCCCATCTAGCTCTTCCTCATCCTCCATCCCGTTCTTCTAGTTCTCAATCTAGTCCATCCACAGTCTCTGAGGTTTACAGTTATATACCCATGTAATAGCAATAATGCTCTGGCTAAGGCCAGGTCACCAGGCTTGAATTCCCTCAGGGTCAAAAGGAGGGGTGATAAGCTACCCACAAAGAACAGCAATGGTCAGCCATCATCTGCAACCCAAAAGGGAAGTGACTAATGGGGCATGAATCAACTAAAGCCTAAATTCAGTTAATAGATCTGAAAAGGGGGATATATGTGCTCAAACTATATTCTTAGAAGTGGTTAGGTAAAATGTTAGGATTCTATAAGTCACTGAGTAAAACTAAAACTTCCTTTTGTTCCTTTGGAGCCGTATCTCTCTTAGCTTAACTCGGCTGCCTGTTTTTGGCAGGGCAGGGGAACTATAGCTAGGTAACTAGACAACCTGCACCCCAGCTAGATGTACCTGGTAAGTAAAAGCCCTTTACTTCTGGGTTAACGGTTAAAGGGAGATCTAGAACTAAGATGGCCCTTGGAAGGAAGAAGGTTAAGCTTAATTAGCAATTCCACCAGGCCTGGGCAGTTGTCTCATGGTAGATTTTTATCTTCCCTCAGGAACTGACAGATAGTCTGGATGCTGCAGTCTGTTCTTAGAAAGTCTGGGAAGAATCTCAGATAAGAGTCTTTCATCCTTGGGGTTGGGGATTTAGCTCAGTGGTAGAGCACTTGCCTAGCAAGTACAAGGCCCTAGGTTCGGTCCTTAGCTCTAGGAGAAAAAATAAAAAAAAAAGATTCTTTCATCGGGGAAAGATCCTGGCCAGATGTTGCTAATGATGATAATTACAGAAAGGCCTGAGATTAAGGGTCTGGCTGTGTGACTGCTTTTAGCATAGTTGGAAGATGTATATCCAAATACTTTCATTGTGTAGGGGAAATTTGAATAATATTCAAAAGCCAGTATCACCAAGACTCTTAAGCCGTGGCTTTCTCCTCTGGAAGGGCCTTGGCTGCTTCCAGGTGTAGCTTTCCCGTAGTCAGCTGAATTCCTACTTCATATTTCTGCCGCCCACAGCACAGAAGGGCTGGACTGTTAGAGCCCATGTAGGGCAGAAGCCAGGGTTAGGTCACACTCTGGCCCTGTCACTTACCTTGTTGGTATATTAGCCACATTCCATCATTCTAACCACATACCTGACAAGAAGCATGTAAGGAAGAGGGAATGATTTGAGTTTGCCATTTTGGGGTATAATCCACCATGGTTATAGAAGAGGTTCATCGAGGCAGGGGCATGAGGCTGCTGGACCTCACCCTGATAGATCAAGGCGGCAGAATCATCATGCCAAAATCAGAATTAGGCCATAACATCTGAAACCCATTGCCCACTAGCTAGGTTCCACCTCCTAAAGACTCCACGGTGTCCCTGCAGGAATGCTCAAAGCTGAGGGTAAACACAGAGTGTGAGTGACATCTCACACTCAAGCTGGAACGGGGTTTATCTATTTAGCCTACTTATGGCTCGATTCCCTTGTCTGTACAGAGGTGTAGCACAGTATATAAGATGATAAAGTGTTTGCCTTGTGCCCATGAGGGCCTGAGTTTGACCCTCAGAACCCACATTAAATAATAATAATAATAATAATAATAATAATAATACAGATGTAGTGACGTGCCCTTGTAATTTCAGCACAAGGAGCTCCCTAAGGCTCACTGTCCAGACTGCCCAGCCTAATTGTCACGTTCCAGGCCAATAAGGGACTCTATTTCAAACCATTTTTAAGTGGCGCTGTTGAGACAGCTCGGTGGATAAAGGCACTTGCCACCAAATCTGATGACCAAGAGTCCCGTCCGAGGGACCCTTCACGGTGAAAGGAGAGAGCTGACTCCCACAAGCTGTTATTTGACCTCTACAGATGTGTTGTGGCATATACACACATGAACACACACACACACATAAATACATATAGTTAAAAACCTTCCATTTAAGTATGAGCCTAAACCTTTAATAGCCGAACCATTTCTCTGCCCCCCCCCC